TTTTTTTTTATCACTTGCAATTTTTCATTCTAGAGTTAAATTTTGTTGTTGGGTAAGTCGCTAGAAATTTGTTATATCTATTTTTGGAAAGGTTTTGCAACTTTAATAGTCAACAACATAGTTGGGGTAAAATTGTGAGAATAGGTGTTATCTACCATTTACACCTGCGAATTTGTCAAATAAAGGTAAAATACAATTTCACGACCTTCCACTATTTTTCTCTTTCTTTTTGCTATCTTAAGAACAGTCGCATACTGCATGATTTAGAAGATTTTTCTCAATTAAATTCATTTAATGTGAGGGGCGCTATAATCATTTTGTTATCAAGTTCTTTTAGGTTGACATTTTCTTCGTTTTTTTTCTTCGCACCACTATTGTTTTTAACTCCTATCGAGTATGAATAATAGGGATTGTTTTGTGGGATTGATTTTGAATGCTTTTGTCTCTTATTATTATTATTATTATTATTATTATTATTATTATTATTTATTATTATTATTATTATTATTATTATTATTATTATTTTTACTCTAATTTCCTAATTCATTTTCCAAGGCTTTGCTAAGTTTTTCCACTTAAAATATATGTATCTGAGATTTATTGGTTTTATGTTTCCCAGGAATTTTGTCGAGATTTCTTAATGCCGATTGCACTATTCCTGTGACGCTTTCTGAAAGTTGCTTTACGTATTAAAAAAATCATTTTGTTTAGATGTCTAGTAAAAAACCTTTCTCGTTCAAGTCATCTGCGTTATCTGTAGCTGCAGATCAGCTGTGGTCTGCTAGCAAAAAAGAATTTAAAGCGGGCGATACCTCAGTGAAATTAGATCTTGGCAAAACGCTTGGAGAAAAAAGCGAACCTGCCGCTCGTCCTGCGGAAACCACCAAGAATACTGGATTCGTTTTTGGCTCGAAAATTACTGAGCGGGTTATTGTAGATAATAAAGTAACAAATGTTGTTTGCTTTTTCTGTGGTTTAAAATTTTTCCTTCAGTTTTTATTTAATCTTTCTTATTGTTTGTTGTTATTACTCTCCGACGAATTTCCTATTTGGCCAAGAGCACTTACTTTTTCATAATATTAGTTGGAAGGAAATACTTGAAGCGTGGAAAGCCTTTTAAATCATTTTTCTTGCATATTTTTCTTTGTTAGTAAAAATTTTACTTATTCTTCGTAAGAGTGAGATCGCTTGGTTAGCAAATGGCTCGTAAGTATTTTTTAGGAGGGTGAAAAAGATCTTTCTGCAAATGGCGATACAGTAGAAGGATCAAAAGAAGGAGATGAGCCTAAAACAGCTAGTGCTGTTTTTGAAAGTATTTTAAAAAAAGCTTTTTTGTCAGGTCAAGCACCATCTACTGGTGGTACTTTGGTAAGCTTTATTATCATATTTTGTTTTTTTAAATGAGGTTCTCAACTTCCTGATGGGTTTCCAGTTTTCTTTGTGCTATTTTTCAGATCAAACCGATCGTATTACCATTATTTGTAATTTTATTAATGGTTGTTAAAGGTTTTGGAAATTGTTCATTAGTTATTGTTAGCACATGGATTCCAAAATCTTTGTTACTGCCGTAATATGCTTAATGAATTCTTTATTTTTGTGACGTGCGAAACTCTTCATCGTTTTTTAACAAAAAAAAAAAGAATTGGTTTGTCTTAGGAAAACGATGGTGCCTCTACTTCTGTGAAGACAAAAGAAAGTCCTGATAAAATTAATGGGAAAGAAACTAGCAAGCAACCAAAGACGAGCAATGTCGTCATATCAACTGGCGAAGAAAATGAAATTAATGTTCATCATGTAAGTTTGCAGTTATAAATCAAAACCGAGTGACTTGAAGGTACTACTTTGTTTTTTTTATGGTTCTCTTAATTTTTCTCAAAGTTGATTATTTGTCATTCAGGCTTCTTGTAAAATCTATGCATTTGATTCCACACAAAAAAAGTTTGTTGAACGTGGTTTAGCCAACTTACGTATTAATCGCTGCGATGATGCTGAAAGTTCTACGGAACATCGTATAGGTAACAGTTTTGTGGTGTTTATACCATTGTCACAGAATTTGCGTTAAAAATGGAAATTTCCTAATTCACTCCTCTTTTATCTGATGAAGAATTTCATTGTAAGTTTCAGTGTGTCGTTCAGTTAAAGCACGACTGCTTAGTAGCATTTTTAGAATAATTTTAGACATTGCGTTTTTATTCTGACGTTTAAATAAATCTTTCAGTCGGGCGCGTCTCTGGTAATCAACGGGTAATAATAAATTCAAGAATTTTTCCTGATATGCTGTTAGAGAAAATATCTCCGAAACGACTGAAGTTTTCTGCCCAAACTCCTGATTCTGACTTGCCGCTGATATTTCTTGCTGTGGTGAGATTTTTCAGCTTTCTAGAGAATTTAAGTTGTCTTTCTTATATAAAATCCTTTTTTTCTTGGTTTTAGATAAATTCCTTAGCATTTTTGATTTTGGCTTCTGGTATTTTAGGCATCGGAATTTGTTACGGAGCAGCTTTACATGGTACTTCATGAAATTGTAGATAAAGCTAAGGTTGAAGCCTCATCGAGGAAGCGGAGAGCTTCAGATAATGATGACACGGAAGATAAGAGTGCTCCTAAACGAGCGCTTGCCGAATCGGATTCATGACAATAAGCGATTTGGTGTTTATATTTTAGTCTGTAATTTATTTTTGGTTCTAAAGTTGTATATTCTCAGATCTTTTAATACTGTTAAAAAAGATGGTTTTTGTTCTTCTTATATGTTCAAGGTAGGTTGACTTTGAAATTTTTATAGTATAAAGCAATAATCTTTTTTTTTATTTGGAAGACGGTTTTATCTATTTCTTTTGATAAGCGACGAAATTTGTTTTAAAAATTAGGTTCTTCTATTAACCTAATTAAACTATAGAGACCCTCATTTTTGAGTGAGGTTGCTATAAGAAATTAGCACGTCTTTTCAGCTCTGCATGAAGTTGGTTCTTTGTTGAGGAGTACGAACATTGGGGAAAGAGAGCCTTTTAAATATGGGTTTTAACAGGATGTTGGCCGTATAATGGATATTATGTATAGTATGAATCATACGTTTCAGGATGTTTGTTGGCATTGTTTAGTCTGAACAAGATAATTTGGTTTATAAGCTTGCAAGTGAAAACTTAGGAGTAGTTATTCTCAAAAGTGATTTATTGAGTTTTTTGGATGAAGCTGAGAAAGTTCTTAAGTTTTTAACCATATTTACAAATAACATTTTGCAAATCCAGCTGATAATTACTGGTTGTTGAAAGTATTCAGATTGGAATTTATGTTTTTATTTGTGTTTTTAAAGGCAGGATTTCCTCGCTTAATTAGGCCACAGTGTATTAAAAATCGTTGTACTGTATTATGGGACGGAATAAAGAATTATGATTCCTAATGATCAGTTAGTTTGGCTGTAGATGACGCAATTTTCGGGTTTTACGTTACACTGCATTTTCAGAGTTCAGGAAAATGTTTTCTTGTCAGCAACTATGACTTCAGCTACATTTAGGAGGGGGCTTGTGAGAAGAATTTTACGACAATATCACCTAGAAGCAGTTTTTCACTGCTTGTTACAGTTTACTGAATAAAGTTTCGAGCAAGCATAGGTAAATGTTGCGTTTCTGCAGCATTTATGGTCCGGTTTGGAATGATTAACTTATTGGACTTATTGGACGTAAATTACTTTGGGTTGTTATTTTTCGGCAGATGAGTTGTCGCATCACTTGAAGCTTTCCGGCATCTGAAAAACTTGGCACTGCAGATTCATGGAAGTCGGATGAATTGCAGTGATACAAGTTTCTTTTGTTTGAAAACCGGTTGAAGATTAATTTTTTGTCGACAGTTTAAAAGGATAAAATATTGTTTAGTTGAACACAAAAAACCTGTTCAGTCAAGGAATTTAAGTCTACAGTGGATTTTAGTATCTTCTGTGGTGTATGCTTGAACAGTTCAATATCATTTCTCATAGTTCTGCCTTTTATCGAAGCATGTCACTGCGCAGAAAGAAGGTGGTACTATCGAAACTAACTGAGGTATGATTAGATAAAATTAATTCTTTCTCTCACAGTCCACATAGTATTGTGGGCATGAAAAGCGATACAGTTGTTAGTCAGGCTAACTGTCTTAAGCAATTGTTTTTTATTTTTTTTTAGAAAGGTTGTTAGCAGTACAGGTAACAACTGTTGGCAGGCGAAAAGAACGTGATGAGGTCAATGAACAGGTAACGACTTGGCTTTCAAAGAAGTTAAGACGCTAGAAACACGACAGCAGACTTACAGGCAGCAGTCATTGTTTTTATAAATACGGATCGGAAGGGGAAATTGAAAAAAAATGAAGAAAAAAGGGAACATCAATAATTCTCACCCAGAACCCATACTTTCAAAAAATTTTCATTTTCTTGAAATTTATTCCTGAAATTTTCCTAAAAAATTTCAAAACATTTTGTTGGAAACAATTTTCAACAAACTTTTTTGAATTGTAACTTCAGCTTAATATCTTTTTTTAGATACCACTTTCTTAATTTCTACTCGTAGTCTTATGACAAATGTAATAGACATCTTCCAAAACAACGTTTTAATTTTACGATCACTTGTTTAACTCATAGACAAACAGTCTGATGAGAATTACTGTCTTAAATTTGCTTTATCATCGCAGAGGCTTCCAGCTGTAACCGGAACATTTTATTGGAAATAACTAATCAGTTGTGATAATGCATTGTTGTTAAGAATTTTATCTTCCAACGTACTGCATTCTCTTTTGTTTTCACATCGGTTTGTCATCAATTTTTTGTATGCTCTTTTGTCACTAATTATCGTCAACATATTTGTTTCTGTGTTTTACTGCAGTGGGTCATCTCATCCATGAAATCCAGAATTCAACCTGTTGATAAAGTGGTCTGCATTTTAGGTGGCTTGGAATTTTTTATGCAGTATTTGGCTAGTTTGGATGATGATTTCACCATAAGTAGGTTTTGGTTTGAAAGTGTCCTGTTTCTTCAAATTTGCATAACTAAACGTCAGCAGAAGTAGGCGAAAGAAAACACTAGATATTACATAGAAAACGTGGACAGAGTTAGCCGGAAGGAAATGGGAAGTAAACTCTCATTTAAACAATATGATTTTATTTTTTTAACTCTTGTGAGTTGACTATTCTTTCTAGGTTTGTAAAGTGCGAAGCTTTTCTCAAGTTTCTTACTGCTAGCGAAATTTTGTCGTCCTTATCTTTTCAGTGTATTTACTATTTTACCAATTTTCATACTGCCGTTTTTTTATTTTTTTATTATAATCTTTTATGTTTTACTTTGAATTGTTACAATTATCAAGAACTGGTAATTCTGACATTTTAAAATTCAAAACCTGCTGAAAGGCCACTTATTCAAACTGAGTACTGAAATTACAAAATTATATACCGACAAAAACTGCAGTTTTTCGTTTTTCTTTCGTGCTTCTCTTATTCAAAAAAGCTTTTGCTGTTAAAGTTTCTTCTTTTTATCGTTTGGTTGTTTTCAAAAAGCAACTTCTAGAAACAACATATTCTGCAAATATAAGCCAGAGGATAGAAGAACGCGCTGAATTAAATAAAGTAAACTTTTAATGAACTTTTTTCATATGAGATTTTTCGCTTTCAAGAAAAATGAGCGAAAAGAAGATTCAAAGCTTTAGGGCATAAATTAAAGCTTTAAATTTGGATCTGTGTGAGAAAATAAATTGAATTATGGATGGGTTTGTTTTTGAAACTCTGTTAGCTTTGCCGAAAAGCAGATTGTTTAATTATGAAGCCAAAGTTAGAAATCACAGTTGAGCTGCAGGTGAACTTTTTACAGCGGCTTTTTTTCTTTATCAGCAGTTCGATTTTTTGGAAATGCGCAATATATTTTTAGACAGTACATAAATAAACAACACTTTTTTGTTGCTTTAATAGTTTAAGTCTGCAATCTGAAACTGAGTCAGTGTCTTTTCTTTTATGATGCTATACGATTAATAACCTTCTGGGATAATAGCTTACCTAAAAAGAATCTATGAAAGAGCTTTGGTTTTTACTGGTATAGTCACGCAGACTAAAGCATTTTTGAAGTGTATCCTGCTTGGCAGTCTTTATGTTTCATTGGATTACGAGCAATACAGTGATTTCTTGCATAACCAAACGGCTTTAATAGCGTACTAAACTTTTAAACAAACAGTTTAAATTAGTTGCAAATATAGCTATATTGGCAGCTAATCATATAGACACCTGTAAAACTGGTAATCTTTCAAGGATGTTCAATATCATGTAAGTACACCAGCACAGCTAGCTAGATTAACGCTAGACCGTTTTAAGTAGTTAAGAGCGGTTCAGGAACAAACATTCTACATCAAGAATCTTTCTGAAATGTACAAAACTTAAACTCGTGCAAAAGGTTGCCAGCAACGTCCATTTAGATCAGAGTAGTCAAGCAGCTCATTCTCGGAACATTATAAAGGTCGATTATCAAATGAACACCCTAGACAGGCGAAAAAACTTCCCGTACTGCAGCAGATTTATTCGAAAATTATGGACCAGTGTAAAAAGGGACGAGTAACTCAAAAAATGTTCTGCTGTGCCCAACAGGAAAGTTTAAGTTGTTCATTTCCAAAGCTTCTTAATAAATACACGCCGGTTCCGGAATGTCTTGGACAAGTAAAAAGTCTTCAAAAACTATGGCAAGTTTAGGAATAATGCAGGTCAGCTTAAGAAGCGATCGGTGACCATGAGTTAAGCTAACGTAAATGAGCACTCTATTCTCAGGACATTTTATTGCTTATAGAGCTTTTCCAGAATGAATTCTGTGAATACGTCAAAACCTTTACGGAATCATATCCGTGACAAGCTTAGTGTTCATTGCAGCAAACACGCATTTCATGTAAGATTTCTGGCAGTACCTTAGAAATTGAATATCCTATATGTATTGGTGCTCAG